GCGGCCCCCGCGGCCTTTCCAGAAACATGCCGCTCCTTTCCAAAAGGACCCCGCGCAAGCGTCTGGCGCCCTGCGGGTGTCGGGGCATTCAGCCACGCCCGGGGAGGCCCCTGCCCGTCGACAGCTGAGCTGTTCTTCCGCACTGAAGACCCAGAGAGCCCGGGCTGGGGGGCAGCCAATAAAAGGAGCGCCTGGGGACGCTCCCCGGAAAAGCAAGCTGCACCCTGCCTCCTGGGGCTCGCACGGCCCTCCCCTCCGCCGGCCTCCTCGTCCAAGCCGGGCTGCGCGGGGAGAAGCCGAGGCAGCCAGACAGGCCCCCTCCGGCCTGGGCCTGGCGGCACCTCAGGCAGGCACTGTGGCCCTGTGGCCTCCAGAGGTCATCCTGGCGGGACTCCCGTGGCCCACGCCTCAGCAGGGGGCTGAGGGGAGACCTCGCCCAGTGAAGGGTCCAGATTGCTGGTGGCCCGCTCCCCTTTGGGCACTATTCCTCTGCATCCCCGCTTCGGTACGCGAGAGGCAACACACGCTTCGGCCGCACCCGATTCCCTGGCCGAACAGAAGCCCTGGCGGGCGCAAGAACACCTCTCTCGAGAAGCCTCCTCTTCGCCAGAGCCGCGTGCTGAAACCAGTCTTTGGGTGACTGCCGTGGCTGCAGCCGCCCGTCTCCCCAGGGGGTGCGCGTGGCTCAAGGCGAGTGGGAGGACCGCCCCCCCCCGCTGTCATTCCCCAAACTGGCTGAATCAGCAGAAACGCTGCTCCATCAAGGGGGAGAGGGAGGCGGCCATGCCAGGGCGGTGGCAAGAAGGGGCCTGCTTCTCCCTTAGCCCCATCTGCTACTCCGGCACCTGCGCCAAGCGGGGCGCAGGTGCGTGCCGACTCCTGAGCGCGCTTTATGCCGAGAAGCAAATGAGACTGCCTGGGACATCATCCTTTGCTCATTGCCTCTGCGGTCACCATGGAAATAGCCGGTGCGCAGAGCGAGAGAAGCCGCTTCAGAGTCAGTGAATTCAGGCTCGCTCGGCTTTGTTTGCTTTTCTGCAGCGGACCGAGGACCAGGGGTGCGCCAGTGGGGGCTGCTTAACTTAAGGAAAGAAGGGGAACCAGAGAGACCAGCTCCTGCTCAGCCAAGGCGGGGGGAAGCTGGGAGACCGCTCAGTCCATCGCTGGGCTTCAGAGCCGATGGATCTGCTTCCTCGGCCCCGGTTCAAGATAGATTGAGGGCCCTTCTGAACGCAACAGCGGCGCACCACAACCTCTTCCACTTTCTGCAGAGAAGCTACAGCTGCCCAGATCAGCACACGGCTTCTCCAACGCGGGCCTTTGCTGACCGGAGAAGACCCCTCTCACGCACTGGCGCCTCAGGAGACGGGTGGGGACCAGGCGCTTCCCTTGCCGCAGCAAGCCACGGGACTGTCCCGGGAGAGGAACGCGGAGGGGAGAGCGAGGCCTGCCTTCGTCTGCCCCGCCGGGAGCGGGAGAGCCCGGAGGAGGAGCCCTTCTTGTGGCCCGCCCTGGTCCGAGGCGCTCTGGCCCCGTGGAGCCTCGGCTCCCTCCAGCCTGACCCCCGGCGAGGGCTTCTGCTCCGGCCGAGCCCGGGGGAACAAGGCCTCGGCTCTTCGCTGTGCCTTTGCCCTCGGCTGGCGGCCAGCGCCAGGGCCGCCTCCATCCCAGGCAGCATCTGCCTCTGCTGGGCCGCGGATCCCTGAACTGTGCTCTGTTGCCTGGCAGCAGCTCCATCCGGGCCGGTGGGAGGCTTGGGCTGGGCACGGAGGCAGGGCGGACTGCGCTCCTGGTTCCTGGCCTGTTGGCAGCTTAAACCCAAACAGAGCTATTATTCTGCTGTTATGTATGTTCAGCAGACCTGAAACAGTCTTCAGGAAGCCCTGCATCCAAGCCCTGACGGAGAACAAGGCAGGCTTTGTACCTCGTGCAGGAAATCAGGGGTTCCAGAGCTTTTAACAGAAACACATATTTTGCCTAATGCTCCACTTAAGCAATCAGCTGGTTAGTCAGCTGAGGTTTATGGGGCTTCTGACCTCTAGAGGAAAGCCACTGCCAAACCCTTCCAGGAAGAGAAGGTTCCTTCTGGTCTCAAATACCGTAAGCTGCAGCTGGAAGCCGTCACCCTAATCCACAAGGTTCAGGATCCCGCAGAGGCCCCATGAGCTCCAGGAACAAGGGTGGGGTTTGCTGTCAAGGGCGATGGTGAGGGACCTGATTGTGCGAGGGCCAAGCCTATTTCTCAGAGTTGCTCCTGGTCATTCAGGAAGACGGCTGGGGGCCGACGAGGCCCAGCCGGTTATCACAGACCTTACCTTCTGCGCCTTTCCCAACCCTGCAACGACCGACTGAGTTGAGCAAAATTGCATACCTGCTCCCTGCACCTGCCAATCCTCTCAGACAAGTGATCAGAATTGTTCTGTTCTTCTTCAAGCTCCAACTCCAGCTGGGATAGTTTGTCCTAAGAGGAAGGATGCAACATTGGCCGGGGCAAGACCTCCGAGCACGCAATACAACCCCTGGAAGTGTGACACAGGCGGGGGAGAGGAGCAGCTGCTGCGGCGGCTGCCTTATGGGTCTGCACGATGGGAACTCCAGGGAAAAATTCAAGCCTGGGCACATGTGAACTGCAGCCAAACCCACGTGGGAGCGGGCACTTTGCAGCTGGTAGAAAGGAAAACCTTTCCACCCGAAGGAAGTCAGACCATGAACCCAAACGTCATTCTCCAGCAGGTTTCTCGGCACAGCCGCTTCTTGCTGCCTGTCACGGGAGTCACCGTTACCTAAAGGGCCCCGGAAAACCACACTGCACCTTGGGCTCCTCTTCGTGCCAGCAGCAGATGGAGAGATGGATGCCTTGAATGGCCTCAGCGCATCCCCGGCTTCATCTACAAGCACATCTGGTGCAGTTTAGTGTGTTTGTTTGAAGGATCTCACAAGACAAGGACGTGCCAGAGTGTCCCACCTGCTGCGCCAGCACCAACAATGTCAGCTGGGCCTCCTGTCCACAGTCCTGACCTCTCTGAAGCTGGATCCAAGGGCAGCCGGGATAAACATGGGGCTTTGGGAAGGGAGGCCGCAGACCAAATGATACTGCGCAAGGGAGCAAAATAAGCTACTGAGGCAGAAGGAGCAGCGGCCTCATATCCCCGCGGGATTTTGCAGGCGGGACCCTGAGCTGATTCATTTCTCCGTCTTAATCTGCCTCCCCATATAAAGTTCATTTTCTACCTCCATTATCTTGGCCTGTCTTCCCCGATCTTCTCTCAAGTGGTTTTTGGTTTCCAGTTCACATTCCAAGGTCTTCACAGTGCGTTCCAGAAGCTGAGTTCTTGTAAGAGCTTCTTTTTGGGCTTTTTTGTGAACTTGTAATTCTTCCCCCATAAAACGTACCTGAAATTAAAAGAAATACACCCCATAAACCTCTCACCTATATGCTCTGTAGAGCATCTACCGCTACTATGGACAGATAGATCTAGATGTAAAGGAAATAATTCTGCATTTGGCAAGCCCAGATCCCAAACCCCTTGTAGGTTCCTTCCATCTCAGCCAGATTCAAGTCTGTGACGATCCACAGGTGTGACAGGAGGCCAGCATTTGACCCTGTCTTGCTAACCCCAACCCTAACCCAAATCTTAACCTAAACCCCAACCCTAACCCTACTCCAACCCATTGACTGAAATTTGATTTGTAGTTTGCCTTTATTTTCCCACAACTTCCTTTATCTTACCCTCCGTTCTCTGCTAAGCAACCAGAGTGGCCCAATGCTTTGGACTGTTTTAGCTTTCTGCCTGGAAACACCCAGGGACCACCTGCGCCCCTTGTCCCCAGTTCAGTTCAGTTCTGTGCATGAAGCGGAGCTGTTGCGCAAGAGGAACCTTTTGGGAAGCGCCCTGAAGCTTCGGAGAACAAGGGGAAAGGAAGCAAAGGAGGTAATGGGGTCCTGCCTGCACTCGTAAGCAACTGGGGCCGTGTTGCTAAGTCAGTCGTCTTTGCCAAGGTCAGCCAGCAAATAATCTGCTGCCCCTTCACGCAGAAAGCGATATTCAAGAAATTAATACAAAGAGAAGCAGGTGATAAACCGAAGCCACAGCTGGAGCTGGCTCACAGCATGAAAGGTTTGAGTGGTTATGCAGTCACCTCCCACGGAAACATCAGGCAAAGACCACCCCTTTTTTTGGGTGGATCTACCCAGATCACATTTCACACGAGCTCCAGAAAAAATGTGCAAGAGCATGCAGGCCACTCATACTTCTGCAGCATCTTCACCCGGTAATTATGTACTATGAGATGTGGTGCTGGTTACCAGCTTGGCTGGCTTCCAAAACGGGTTGGACCAATTCACAGAAGTCCCGGGGATCGAGGGCGCTTAGCCTTGATGGCAACCTGACCGCCTGGGAAGGGCATCTGCCGGGCTTCTTTGGGCAACTGGTGGGCCACTGTGAGGACAGGTCGCTGGACCAGATGGGCCAGAGGTCCGATCCAGCTAGCCACGGGCTTGTGTTCTTACGCAGCCCATTCCTCAAAACGCAAGTCCACCTGCGAGCGCGGAACTTTCCCAGAGAACGTGTGTGTTCAGCTGGTGTAGCCCTCTTTTCCCGCCACAGGGTGGCAGCAGTGCAACGCAGTGCGACGATCTGGGCCCCGGAAGCTAAGGAGCTTCGGGAGGGCGAGCTGCCCTCCCAGTTTTCCAGGCGGGATTACAGGATCAGGGCCACAGGCCTCTGAGCTTCCTTGGTCCTTTACCCAGCTGATGGCTACAGCGAAGGCCAAACCTTCTTACGGCCTGGAAGCTTTGTTTTCTTTGTAAAACATGGCTGTGCCTGGAGGCTTGAGGGGGGCTCGCATTGTTGGAACTGGCTAGTGGGAGGATTGATGCTGTTCCCCCCATCATCTTGAATTGTACATTGGCTTTTTGGATAAAACAAAAGTTATTTGTTATTTTAATTGTGGATATTTGTACTTTTGTTGTTTTTATTGTCTTGGATTTTAATTGTAAGCTGCCCAGAGTCACCCTCTGGGGGAGATGGGCGGCATATAAATCCAATAAAAATTGGAAAAAAAAATAACCAGAATTTGCTTCCAGATGTTCCCATTTTCAACTGACATTTCTTAATAGCTGTTTGTTTGTTTTAATAGCCAGTCTATAACTCCTTCTAGCTTCCTCCATGCTTGTTTCAACTTGCTTTGCTTGTCCCCTGCCCTGTGAGTAACTCAGGCAGGACGCCTGCCTCCCTCTGGACTCCCCTTCACAAGCACAGGCCGGGTTTATTTCCAGCAAGGACAGCTGGACTGTTGGCTTACAGGCTCCATCGTGGTTTTCACTGGCACCCTGAGCGAGGGACGACCCTGCCTGGGGCTGGGGCACCACCCACTTAGAGCTAGAGGTCAAGGGGGGGCCCTTAGGAGTATAAGTTGGGTGAGGAATGCTTGTTGTTGCTGTTGTTCTTATAACAGACTTGGGAGTCAGACACACTTGGGCATTATTAGCTATTTATCAAGATAATCCATCTATTTTATCCACATACTAGTTTCTGCTGGGCTGTTTTGTTTCAGTCATCTTTAGTTTGGGTGGAGTTTAATTGATGCTTTTGGTTACATGCTGCAATTGTTGTTTGATTGCTGACTGTGTTGAGTTGCTCTTCTACTTATTTAAGGAAGGAAGGAAGGAAGGAAGGAAGGAAGGAAGGAAGGAAGGAAGGAAGGAAGGCAGG